TCCTGTTGACATCGAGTCCTGCTGACATCGAGTCTTGTTGACATCGAGTCCTGTTGACATCGAGTCCTGTTGACATCGAGTCTTGCTGACATCGAGTCTTGTTGACATCGATTCCTGTTGACATCGATTCCTGTTGACATCGAGTCCTGCTGTCAAGTCTTTTTGTTGTCAAGTCCTTTGTCGTCAGTGGAACTGTGCAGTCAGGACCTACCAGAGTGGTCCTGCAGCGCCACAACAAACTTTGACCTCTGCCTCAGACCCTCCAGGAAGATCACCACCAGGTCGCGGATGTCTTCTGCGTTGTTGGAGGTGAAGGTGTACTCGTCTCCTTTGATGGTGGCCAAGGTGAAGCTCTGCCCCTGCAGCTTCCCTCCCCTGAAACAAAACAAAAACTCAGATGTTATGAATTACAGTCAAATAAAGATATTTCTGATCTGATGGGTTCAGAGGAAAACCTCTTGTTTAGGAGAACAGCTTAAGCTAATTGATTATTTCAGGTTAAGTAGATTTTGAGCTTGAAGATTTTTTTTCCCTTCTTGCTCTTGGTGAAGACGGATGCTTTTCCCTCCTGCTCCTTCCCTGCTCTGCTCATGTTGCTTTTTCTTGTGCTGATGGTTTTTTTTTGCAACCTCACACTGTGTCCCGTTAAGGACACAGTGTGAGATGTGATTTTTTTTTATACCTCCCCTTTCCTCATGTTTTTCTTTTTCCTTATCTAAACGAAAAGGGCAGCGCTTCACACGAGGCTGCAGCCTCAGGCACCCCCATCTACCCATGTTTTCTTTGGACAGTTGTACTGAAACGTAATTTCATTGTGCTTCTGTGCAATGACAATAAAGGTTGATTCTGATTCTGAAAAAAAAAACACTTGGAACAATTAAACAGATAAAAGTGATTAAAGTGAATGCAGTTCCTGAATCACATTTCTGACCTGCTGCTGGAAACAGCAGTGATTTCTGGGAAAGAGAGTTCTAAGAGGACCTGCTCCTGCTCGTCCACAAAGTAGATCCCGGTCCAGTTTACGGCCACGATCAGGTCATTTTTAGGCAGACTAGGACCTACGAAGCAGAAACATCAACAAAATAAAGTATAATCATTGTTACAATACTAAAGATCTAGTTTTTATTAATAACAATTTGGAGACAGACCATTTAAAGACAATTATTCTGCTTTTATTTCACAAAAAGAAAGAATGATTTTTTTGGTCAAAACATGTTTGTACTTATTGAAACAGGAAATGAACTCTGTTCCAGTTAACATAAAATATTCTCACCTGAGAACTTGAAGGCTTCATAGAAACGAGAGAACAACAAAGGCCACTTGTGGCGGGCGAAGTCCACAACTTCTTCCTTCACCTTCTGAGTGTCGAACCTCTTCTGAGCGTAGATACCCTGAGCACAGAAATGTTTGTTTACAGGAGAAAATAAACGAGCAAGAGTCTTGGTGCCATTTTACCTTTAATCAGGCTGTAAAACATTTACTTTAGCTTACCAAGGCTCATTTTAGCTGCTATGCTAACCATATTAGCACCCTGTGATTTAGCAGTTTCTTACAAACTTCAGTAGGAATGATCATTTTGTGGACTTTGTTATTAAATCATATTATATATTTTTCAGCTTTAGTTCAGAAAAGACCCCGAGCACCTTTTTGTGAGCAGCCATGATGAAATGAGCCCACTTCTCCACAGATTTGGAGCTACTGATCTCTCTGTCAGGGATGTAGGACGGGATGAGGCTCAGCAGACGCTCCAGGAGGATCTCCGACCCGTAATCGATGTAATACTGCTGCGAGGCCAGCTCTGCCAGGTCGTCCTGGAGGTACAAGGAAGCAGATATACCTACGTTGACCAAGTTTGGATTTGAAAGGCACAAAAGATTCAAGGTTCTTTGTCATACACACCCCATGTGGTACATGTGGTGGAACGAAATGGTGTACACAGGGTCCCAGTTACATCCAACAAAAGTATTAAAATGTAAATGAAAAACAGTAATAAGATCAAAGATCTAAGACTAAGAAAAACGTTGACAAAAAACACGCTAAGCGCTAGTAGTATAAAAACGATTCACCGAACAGCAGCACGAACATGAGTCTGTGTGAGCAGATGAGCACGAATGAACGCAGCAGCATGAAACAGATCAGCAGCAACATGAAACAGATCAGCAGCAACATGAAACAGATCAGCAGCAACATGATGTGATTTTTCACAGTGATTATTCTAGTTAGAGATTCATGAGTCTAGCAGCCTCAGGGTAGAAGCTGTTCCTCAGTCTAGTGGTTCTACACTTAATGCTCCTTAAACTCCTTCCTGAGGGGAGTGGGGCAAAAAGTGTGTGTGCTGGGTGAGTGGATGTAAAATGACATGAACTTAATATTTTTATCATCAGTCTTTTACTTTTGTTTTCAAGCAAAGAATACTGAACAAGCCTGATTTATACTTCTCCAGAATTAAAGAAACCGGATCTCACTGATATACAGGGGTGGAAGTAACGAATTACAAATACTCACATTACTGTAATTAAGTAGATTTTTTCGGGGGGTACTTGTACTTTTATGAGTATTTCTTTCAAGTGTGTAATTTTACTCATACTTAAGTACAATTTAGATCATGTAATGCAGAAAGAAAAACTCTGCAGAGAGTGGTGAAGGCTGCACAGAAGTCTGCTGGAGTCAGCCTCCCCACCATCACAGACATCTACACCTCCAGATGCAGAAAGAGAGCCACCTGCATCATGAAGGACCCCACTCACCCAGCACACACACTTTTTGCCCTGCTCCCCTCAGGCAGGAGGTTGAGCAGCATTAAGTGTAGAACCACTAGACTGAGGAACAGCTTCTACCCTGAGGCTGTTAGACTCATGAATCTCTAACCAGAATAATCACTGTGAAAAACCACATCATGTTGCTGCTGATCTGTTTCATGTTGCTGCTGATCTGTTTCATGTTGCTGTGTTCATTCGTGCTCATCTGCTCACACAGACTCATGTTCGTGCAGCTGTTCGGCGTAATGTTTTTGTACTACTAGTGCTTAGAATATTTTTAATTGATGTTTTTCTTAGTTCATATCTTAGATCTTATTGCTGTTTTTCATTTACATTTTATTTTTGGATGTAACTGGGACCCTGCGTACATAGTCTCGTTCCACCACAAGTACCACATGAGGTGCGAATGAATCCTTGTAATCTTCTTCGCTACTTTTAAAATCAGAAGTCTCTACTGAGTACGGCCGCAATTTGAATTAATATTCAAACCATCATCTGCATCTTTGTAGCCGATAAGGCTCACAGATCTCGAACGCGCCCGTTACCTATGACGCAAGGAAAAGACAACTCCGTAGAGTAGAGAGTCATTTATGAACTGAATATTTGGAGAAAAAGCCAAAATGGAGACAGAGGACAACACCGTCTAGGTAAAGGCTGAGGACGAGTGCCCGTGGCCGTACCTGGAGGAATTGTTCATGTACAGAGGGCGAAAAGGAGACGGTGTCCAGATGCAAACTTTGTTTGATCTCTACGGTGACAGCAGCTTACATTCAGCATCTGAGCTCAAAAAACATATTGCGGTATACGAGGTTTTACAGCTGAATGATGTTGCTGTTTTATTGTTTGTATGTGTGGGTTATTAGTTTGGCTAAGTATGCAAAGATCTTAGATCTTGTCACTGCCATCGGTTTGTCTGGTACTAAAATAAGACGGAGCGTCTGAGAAACGTGCTTTGAACGAAGAAGTTGTTTACACTAAATCAAACTGAATGTCTTCAACACAACGAAACATCAAGTGGTTAAAAAGTAATTAATACTCCGAGTAGTTTTTGAGAAGAGCACTTTGTACTTTTTCTTAAGTATTTTTATAACACCAGTACTTTTACTTGTAACTGAGTACAATTCAAACAGTGTAACAGTACTTGTACTTGAGTACTAACTTTCAGTACTCTTTCCACCTCTGCTGGTGCAGTTGTGAGACCCAGTTTTGTTGTAGGAGCTCTGAGGGCTTGTTCTCATGGAGTTTAAATCCAGCCTAACGTTCAGCAGAAATTATAACGACTGCAAGTTTTAAAAAGTGTTAACTTATTGTAAAGTCTGGAGATGTTCTTCACCCTGTCGCAGCGGTATTCTCCAAACTTGACGCCTCTGACGATCTGTTGGTAGATGAGGTTGGTGGCCACCTGGTCTTCAGAGGGGCTGTGCCAGGGTGTGAAGATCTCCTTCCTGAAGAACAGCCTCCAGGGGGCGTTCCTCTCCTGAGCCCCCTGCTCCTTGGCGTACTGCTCACACTGCGACACGGCGTCCATCACGTGGTCGTTCCCGCTGCCCAGAGAGGACACCTGCAGGGGCGTCATTTATTTCAGGAAATCACGTCTTTGCAACAAGTTAACACAACAAAGTTCAACACATTTAAAACAACAACAGCCTTTGGTTTGCAAACTGAAGACATTTTCTATTGTCCTCACCACTTCCTGTGTTTCAGTGTTTGTTTTTTTTTTGTTAGTTTGTGTTTTCGTTAGGTTTATTCACGTTTTGTGATTCTTGTGTTTAGTTTTGTTACTTGTGTTTTCATTTGTTCAGTCCCACGCTGTTCCTCTGTGCCGTCAGCCATTGTTTCTGTTTCTCTGCTCCTTCTCCACTTTCACCAGTTCCCCGTTGTCATTTTGCCCAGCTGTTTCCATTTCTTCATCATTCCTGGTCTATTTATTCTGTCTGTCCCCATCTTCACATCAGCAGTGCATTACTGGTTTCCACGCCTCAGTCTGGTCCTCCTTATGTTCCCTGTGCTCCTTTGTGATCGGATCCTTCAGTTTGTTGTTGCATGACAGCATTTTGTTTTTGTTTATTATAAAGTTGTTGTTGTTTTTTTACTTCTGCAAATCTGCATTCTCGTGTCATCCTACAAACCATGAGGCGTTTTTAGGAGTTCGGTTAAAAAGAATCCTTCATAAATGATCTTTTTTAATTTGATAAAAGTTGGATCCTATAAGTGTCGTGATTCATGCTCATCAAACCAGGTGGAAAAATCTAACAAGGTCGAGTCAGGTCCTCTGGACGGATTCATCTTGAAATGTTCCGTCTTTTATCCAAAAGTCTTCTTCAGTCTGAGGAGCTGCAACAAACTCAGTCTTATAAACAGTGACAAACTGGTTGATCCCTATGAGAAGGTGCTACTTATAAGACTGGGTCTGTTGCAGCTCCTCAGACTGAAGAAGTCTTTTGGATAAAAGACAGAACGTTTCCACAAGAAGAATCCCTGACTTAACTTTGTTAGATATAAGGTTTTCTTATTGACAAAATTGTAATTTACTTTGCACAAATGAATTAAAGAATGGGAAAAAAAATTAAAGAAAAAGCAAAAAATTTTAATTGAAAAGAAAAACTTTTTGATTTAGAATTTTCTTGCATAAACGATGGTCCCATGCACGGTTGTTATTATTTCAGGACTTTTTCTGGTACAATCACCAATGTCAGGTCAGGCAGTCCTTGTGGGGACCAAGGCCCAGTTAATTTAATGGAATGTTGTTTTTGTTGTTGGGTTTGGGGTACGGGTCAGGGTTAGACTACAGAAATGAACAGAAGCAGCAAACTTGTGTTGTACCTTATCAAACAGAGCAATGTAGAGTGAAAACCCGAAGCGGTCCTTCAGGTTGACCTTGTCGGACAGGGCGCTGCAAAGCTCTTTAGCCGTGGTGGCCGAGTCCGTCAGCAGCGTTTTAGTCGTGCCGTCCATGAAGGTCACCGGCAGCATGATGGGCTTCTTCGACTTGGTGGCCTGTTGGTTTTACAGTTTCACTAAACGTGATCTCCAGCTGAAAACTTTCGAGTCATGCTACATTAACATCATTCAAATCATCCTTGAATCATTTATAATTCAATATTTTCCATCTACAAATATATAAAATACAAGTTTTACAGCTTTTTTCTGTTAAACAAGGACTACCGTATTATAGTGTTGCTAAAAAAAAAAGCAAACAACAACATATCAAAATTAAGTTCTAATTTCGAAACATAGAAAAGTGCACAAAGAAAATCCTGAATCATTAAATGTTTATTCGTTCTTCACTGAATCGAAGCGTGTCGGTACCTGCAGCTCCAACCAGGACGGAGGTTGAGTTCTGGTCCCGTTAACGAACGTTCGTCTCAGACGCTCCTCGCAGTACGGAGCGTAGCCTGGAGGTCCGCTCCTGATGAAGTTCCTCAGGTACTACAGGAAACAAAACAAGTGCTTTCTACAAACAAATGACAAACTGAGGTACAAAAATAACGTCCAAATATTTAACTGCAAATACAGATAAATTAATCCAGCTGTGGTTTGTCTTTAAATGTTACGACTGCTGTCGTGCGTTTTGTCTGAAATCTCATCCTGACCTTGAGAAATTTGTCGGACGGAGCAAAGCAGCCGACGCACAACGAGATGAGGATCCAGCCGCGAGCGTGAGAACTCTTGGACGGGTTCTGACTCAGCTGCTTACAGATCTGACAGTAGATCTCATCCCTAACACACACACACACACACATGAAGCAAGCTTATAGTTAGGACAATTTATTTATTTATTTATTTGTTTTCACATTAAGGAGTAAGAAAATAATTATAATGTCATTATTTCTGGCATAACTTCACCAAGGTGCACAAGAATGAAGATCAAACGTTTAAGAAATGAATAAACTAAACAAGTTATACGAGAACTTTAGCGTTAAATGTATTATGTTCAACCTCTGAGAGAAGTAACAACATGTATCCATCTCCATCTTCTACCGCTTAACTTTAGACGTGTCGCAGAGGCAGCAGGTCCAGGAGAGAAGCCCAGACCTCCCTGCTCCTCCCGTCAGGGTGTTCCCAGGCCAGAGAGGATCTATAATCCCTCCAACCAGTTCTGGCCTCTGCTCTGGATCCTCTTCCCAGTGGGACGTGACCAGAAAACCTCCATAGGGAAGAAACCAAGAGGATCCTAATCAGATGAACCATCTTAACTGACTCCTTTTGGAGCAGAGGAGCAGCGGAGATGACGGAGCTCCTCACCCCCGACCCGACCACCCCACAAAGGAAGCTCGTTTCAGCAGCTTGTATTTGAGATCTTGTTCTTTTGGTCATGATTCAAACCTTATGACCGCAGGTGTGGGTTGGAACGTGAACAGACCAGTAAATCCGAGAACTTTGGCTTTCGACTCAACTCTTTCTTCACCAGAACGAACCAAAGCAACGTCCTCGTTCCTACGAACGAGATGTCATTCGTCAAATTATCTCCCCGACGTCCAGATCCATCTGGGGCAAAGACTCTTCCAGGACCTGGAGAGAGCGTTCCACCCATTCCTGGTTGAGAACCATGGCCTCAAACTTAGAGGGGCTGACTCATCCCAGCTGCTTCACACTCGACCACAAACCGCCACGGTCACGTTGAAGGTCTTGGCCTGAAGACGCCACCAGAACCACATCATCTGAATAACGCAGAGGTAAAACCCTGAGGTTCCCAAACTAGACACCCTCCCACTCCACGACGTCCATGAACGCCACAAACAGGACTGGAGACAAGGGACAGCCCTGGCGGAGTCCAACCCGCACCGAGAACAAGCTCAACTTTGTACCAAATGCAGCTCCTGATCTGGTTCTACAGGGACCGGACAGTACCGGTCAAACCCGAGCACGGTCATCCACAAAACACATGTAGACCCAAGAGTCCAACTCCCAAAACTACACTTAATTGTTTAATTCAATTTTTGTTTGTTTGTTTACCTGAGTACTTTGAGGATGCAGAGGACAGAGAGAGCTGGGGGAGGATGACTCGCTGTGGCGACCCCTGAACAGGGAAAGACGAAGAAGAAGAAGAAGTTTACCTCAGTGCTGGCCTCAGGATCCCGTTGCCGATGATGAAGTGAAGTTTCTCCAAGTTGGAAGTTGGTCGGTCCTCCAGCATGCTGTTGCCATGGAGACTGTACTCCCCATCGTTAAGGCGCTTGGTGACCTGAAGTGTAAAATGCATCAGAGCGGGTTTTTTTTAATAATTATTATTTCAGGTCTGAAACAACGAGGAGGACCTGTCCCTCTTCACTTCACACCTCCTCTGTGATCTTGGACTTCTTCTTCAGGGTGAGCGAGACCAGTTTATGTCGGACGCTGTTTTTCTTGTGGCTGTCGGAGCGAGGCGTCTGAGGAGCGGAGGGAGGGAAGAATATTCACGTTAACGACAAGACGCGACGGGAGGAAGAATATCTAACGAGGGTCTGCAAACAGGAAGCAAGATGAATATATTTTACAAACAAAACGTGACAACCTGCTTTTGTCCAATAATAAACACTAAAAACTAAAATGCATACGATTCCGTTCATGACAAGCGCATCACACTCACAGAACTGATGGTTTATTACAGCAACTTTAAAAAGCACCAGTTTAATTTAGAAGAGCTTTTTTTTAAATCACTGACTGATTTACTAAGTTTATGTTTTTCAACGGTAATTAAAAAAAACGTGTAGCAGAGCAGATGAAAGATGCAGAAATTATTATTGGATAATATTTAAACAGAGACAGAAAATGTGGTTTATCTATGATGTGAAACGTGCTTGTAATTGGAACGTTTTTCAGCATCTATCTCATCGCGCAGTTTTAAAAGTTATTTCAACAAATCATGAAACAAAACGTTCAGCTCTTTCAGGACAATCCTGCTATGATTTGTGGTATTGGTGCAACTTTGGCTTTTTGAAACTTTTAGCCTTTTCTGCCATTTTTTCCCTCACAGAAAATGAATGAAACTCTTTTTCCATCCTTCAGATCTTTAGATGTGTTTGCAACATTTTGTTCTGGTTCAGCTTCTTTCAGCTTCCTTGTGCAATTTTTAAAAATCAGCTATTTTCAGCTAATTTCAGCTGTTTCTTTGCTCCTTTTCAGCTTATTTCTGCTAACTACAACATTTTTGTGCTTCTTCTGACTTCTTTCTGCTATTTCATCTACTATTTAGCTGTTTTTATGCTAATTTTAGCTTTTTCAGCTAATTCCACATTTTTGCACTCAAACTTTTTTCAGGCTTATTCAGCAAAAATGTGCCCTCTCCACTATCTTCTGGTAATTTAGGCTTTTTTCTACTGTTTTAGCTACTCTTCAGCTGTTTTTTTATTTTACAAATGTCTGCTTTTTTCAGATATCTTCCACTTTTTTGTGCTCATTTCTGCTTCTTTAAGCCTAATTGGGCACAATTACGCTCTCCACTTCCTTCTGGAAATTTAAGCTTCTTTCTGAGTTTTTAGCTACTTTTCAGTTGTTTCTTTTGCTAATCTCAGCTTTTACAGCTAATTTATTAATTTTTGTCCTCATTTCCTCTTATTTAAACCAAATTCAGCAAATGTGTTCTGCTTTCTTCTGCTAACTTAGGCTTGTTCGTTTATTTCAGCTACGTTTAAGCTTTTTTTTAGCTCATTTCAACTAAGCATTCACACTGCATTTTTGCGGGAAATTCAATTTCTCCAATTATTAGTAAAATGTATAAAAACAAGAGAAAACTTCAAATGTCTGCTTTTCAGAATAATAAAAACTTGTCATAAGGGTTATTAGATTATCACAAAATACAAATAAATGAGTTCTTTTGTTTATTTAATAAAATACAGTACTGTATATTTATTTATTGTCTGTTTAATTAACTGTCTTTTAAAATAAAAGATGTCAATTACTAACTTCTGTTTCCTTACAATACAAAAATAATAAAATCTGATCTTGGCTCGTGATTTATGAATTGAAGTTAAATCACCATCAGCAGAAAAAGTAAAAGCAGCACAAAGAAAAGTTTAATAAATGTTCACCTCCCCCTCCTCCTGCAGCGCCTGCAGCTCTCTCTTGTACGTCTTTTTCCCCAGCGTCTCGTAGATTTTGGTCATGACGGGGACCTTCTCGCTGCCGTCGCTGATGGCCGTGTGGTATTTGGGCTCCGGCAGATCTCCCATAAACCTCAGAATGGTGATCCACACGGCCAGAGCGGCCTGAGGCGGCACAGAATCCAACATTTACGCTTTTAATAAAGTTCTACAACAACGTATTTCAGCTGACTCAGAATAACTTGTGGAAATCTGAACTTGTTCTGTTTCAAGTCCACCAAACGTAAGAAGTCCATCGGAAACTTCGCCTGAAATCACTCGAAGACAAAAAGGCCGCCTACCAGCTGGTCTCCCTCGTCCTCGTGGAACAGCAGCGGCTGCTTCAGAGGTCTTCGAACGTAGGTGTGTGTGGTGGTGCCCTGGAAGTAGGTCGCCGCAAACTTGGCGAACTTGTACTCTGACAAATCCTCCTCTTCATCGTCTTCAGGAAGAGGAAGAGCCTCGTCCAGATCCTCCTCCATCAGCTCGTGATGAGTGTGCTCCAGATCCTGCGGAGGAGACGGGACGTTGGTCTCTGTCGTCAACTAAAAACCAAAAACTCCTTTAAGGGACGACTCTGTCACAGGACGTGACCCCATAAAAACAGTCACTGAGCAATTCTTAGGATTTCACCTCCACTGGACCAAACCTGGTCTTTTTGTTGTCGGAGCGAGGAGGGGTCTTGGAGTTACCCCCCGTCCGTCCGCCTCGTGAGCTGGATAACGTGATAAATAAGTGAGGTGCCAACTTCTCTTTTGGTGTGTGAGGCTACAACTACATTTAAGAAAGTTCCTTTCAAAAATCAGATTGCCACATAAAAATCTAAGATGGCCACCAGCATTTATATATATGTAAACCAGCCCCCAATCGTTTGAGGAAACTATGCTTTCTAGATATTTTACATCTTAAAAGTATAGTTTCCTCAAATGTCTTGCGTGGTTGAAGATAAATCAACGGTGCACCGTTACCCCCCGGCTCCACCACTGCACCTGGTGGTGGATACGTCACTCTGCGCCGCCTCAGAGAAGGAAAAAACAAAAACCTCCCACTGTTCTTCTCCCCACTTGAATATCTTGCACTAAAAACATTTAGGTTTATTTACCTTCCCTCTTCAATTCCCGTCCAGATAAACACTCATATTAAAAGCTACAAACATTCACTTTTCAAATCCGTCAGCGACGGGCGACATCAGAGTACCGCTTGTTTAAATACTGTTGAGTTTTTATGATCAGTTACTTTACCTAACATTTAACTCTTAATGGTCTAGTTCAGTGTTTTTCAAAGTGGGGGCCACAGCCCCCTAGGGGGCCGCCAGGAGGTTCTAGGATTGCCTCAGAAAGCTGGAGAGAAGACAAATAAATAAAAAAAACGTAGTAATAATAATAAAAATTGCCCACTAGGGCAATCTGTATGTCATTTCCAGATAAACACGCTTGAGAGAGAAGTTAGATTTATTTTGTTCTTCTGGGCAACAGTTTGTTGAAAAGTTGTTGTTTTTTTCTGTGGGAACATAAAACAATGTTTAAAACGTGTTAGTTAATATTTGCATGCTCAGCAGCTGTAATAATAATTAACTGAATATAGTGAATAAACGTTAAAACATTCTAAAAGTTGATGTTTCTTTACGTATTCTGTAGCATTGTTTGTGGGTTTGCGAGGGGGCCACGGCCAGAAGCTAATGCTGTTTTTGGGGGGGGGCGGGGGGGGGAACGGCAGGGAAATGTTTGGGAACCCTAAATGACCGGTTGTTCAAAACTTTTGCACAGTACTGTACATCGTACACGGTTCTAGAGAACGAGTTCAGAGTCTTTCATCCCTTTAAACCAAGACAAAGAGGCAGATTTAATCTCGTCGTGTCACCTCAAAGCCAGCGGGCGCTTGTCCTTCTTGACCCGGTAAAGAACTGGTCGTCCCCAGGAAGCCGAACATCTTGTCCACCATGTCGGAGTCGTTGACGGGCTCGGACCGGGCCTTCTCCATCTGCTCGACCATCTCCTTCTTCCTCCGAGCTTCTTCCTTCTCCGTCTTCTCTCGCTCAGCGTCATCTTTGGCCAGCTTGGCCAGTCGCTCCTGGACAAACAAAAAATATACAAACGTGAACAGTAAATAATAAAAATGTGAGTAACTTGCTGCCTGAGAAACGAGAGACGCGCACGTCTTCTACCGTAGTCTTCAAAGTTTCACTGCAGTAAGATTACATCTATCTTCAGCATTTTGTAAAAGGATAAAAACTGGAAGAAAAGTGAGGATCTGTGTGTTTTGTGTCTCTTGTGTCACTGGTCCTGCCCTCCTCTGTGTTTCTCCTTCAGCTCCTCCTCTGTGTTTCTCCTTCAGCTCCTCCTCTGTGTTTCTCCTTCAGCTCCTCCTCTGCCACCTGTCGTCCTTCACCAGGTGTTAATCTCCTTGTTAGTGTCTTTATATTCTGTGTTTCATTGTTGCTCCTCTCCGTGGATCGTCCTGTACGGCCTCATGCTCCTGTCTCCCTCCGTGACTTCTCATGATTTATGTAAGTTCTGCTGCCACGTCAGACTTTTTTTGTTTATATTAATAAATATTATCTATCTTAGTCTCGAGTTCCCGATTCCTGTCTGCATCCTGGGTCCAACCACACTACAGAACATGACAAAAGGATTTGGATTCCTCCAAGAAATCTCATGCATCTGCGTAAAAATCATCGTCTACGTCTGTAAAACTGGATTACACGACAATTAAGTGTCAAAAGAAACTACTGCAGATTTATAATTTCACTTTCCAGCTGCGCTGTAAACTCAACTGTACCTAAATCTGACACATACTTAACACATTTCTGACGTTATGTCAGGTTTATTGAAGGAGAACGTGTTTCTTGTAGTTTCCTAACACTATTTATAAAAAGATATTTACAGATGATTAAAAGCAGAAACCAAAAGCTGAGTTCAAATGTTCCCGTCCACTGACCTGAGGGGCCTTGATCCATTTACTTATTTAAATTTTATTTTGTGAGACAGATCATGAAACAAAGCTTGATGATTAATGGAAAAGGTTTTATAAACTACTTATTAAATTAGTAGAATTTGGTTCTAAAACGGCCAAAACAAAAACTACACGTATAAAATAAACAATCCAAACTAGACATTTTAAAAAGACACAGAGAAGGCCTACAGCTAAAGACAGAACAACAACAAACGATGAAAGAAAAGAGAAATATTCACTCGATTCAGCTGTTAGTTGGTAAATAACAGTTTTACCGCCTTATGTTGGAGCTTTCTGAATTTTTACCGGAGCGAGCCTCCATGAAAAAGGTCTTAATACGTTTTTTAAATAGTATTAAATGGTTTGCCTGGTGTTTGCGTTCAGCCTCGGCCTTGGCTCTTTTTGCAGACATCTGGTTCCTCAGTTTGGCCTCTTCAGCCAGACGCATCTTCTCAGCCTCCAACCTCCGGCGGTACTGAGAGCGAAAAACGAACCCACCGTTAAAAAAAACTATAAATAAATACAGTTTTATAGTTTAATGATGTAGTTTTATTTAAACTAAGACACGGTAAACATATCGAGATAATAAATTTACTTATTTATTGTTTTACCAGAGACTGCTCATCAAACCCTAAAAATTTCAAACAGTTAAATTATTGCCTTAAACATAAAACATCTGGTCAACAAATGGTTAATGTGCAGACCTGGTTAGAGGATTTTATAAATCATCTAAAACTATTACAAACAACAAATCTGAGTTGCATGTGCACAGACGAACATTACAAGAGCGAGTCTTCTTTCAAAATATGACTTTAAAGTTCATTTTACTGTAACTAGAACTCTACTTGAAGTAGGAGTATTTATTAAACAGCAGCTGCTGTAAATTATTGTTAAAACTCACATGACGTTGTTAATATTGCTGCTTTATAAATAAGTAAACAAAGTCCAGCCTCATCATGAGAGCCTCAGACGGGCGTGTCGGTCATTACCTCCCCCTTCAGCCTCTTGTAGAGACGGCGGGCGATCATGCCTCTGGTGTAGGCCTGGACGGTGAGCACCGCCCACAGCCGGTGCCTGAAGGCCCGACGCACCAGGAAGCCCCGGCAGCGGCCCTGGAAGCCCGTGATTCTCTGGCGGGCCACGTGATACGACGCGCACAACTTCCTGGAGCGAACCAGAGCCTGCAGGCGGGAGAAGCCCGCTCGCATCTTGGAGGACAAAAACAGAAGGAGAAACGTTTACGAACTCTTGGGCTGGATGCTCACTTTTATTTTTTTACACTTTTCCTCCAACTTAATGTGACTGTGGTGTGAAACTGATGCTGCTCACAGCTCCGTAGTTCTTCCGACAGTAAAACCCTCTCCAAGTCTTCTGGATCAACACCGCAGACTTCCTGATCCTCAGAAAGTTGGATCTGAGGAGAGGAAGTGCAACATTAGACTTCAAATATTTAAAAATCAAATACAACAATAAAATCCAGCACTGTTAAATAAAATATATCAGTTTTCACAGAATACCAGTCAATCAAGTTCAAGCCGCCATGAAGTCGCAGAGATCTGATTTTTAAGAGCATACCTGTCTTTAAAACCTCGAACCACCTTCTGGATGAGGATGACCTTGTCTGTGATGGCCTTATCCCGCTCGATCTCCAGCAGCATGTCGTGGTGGTCCTACACGAAGAAAAACAAACACGAGCGCACTTCTTCAGCTGAGGTCTTCAGCTCCGATTCAACAGTTCGAGGAGAACCGCTGCAGAAAGGCGGAGGCCAACGTCATAATGTGACTTACAGAACGGGCTCATTTGGACAGATATTAATAAACACAAGGATTTTCATAAAGTCTCAAAACACTTCATTTTGTGGAACTTGTTAAAATACATTTTCTCCATTTTTAGCTGTTTTTATTAACCCACAGTATCTGAGCAGCTGCAGCGCGCTGAAATTAATTTCAAATGGCTCCGTGTGTCACCATGACTGAGGTCATTGGTGTGTGAGGAGAAAAATATGATAATTTCTTATCATGAAAACCTGCTACATGTTTAAAACACTTAAACACTCAAAGTATGTCTTTTGTCATAAGCCACTTTATAATTAAAAATAAATAAATAAAATGATGTTTAGGAGGTGTTAGTTTTATGTTTTAAGTAGCTGACACTTTTAGACAGGTTTTTATTTTTGCAGTTAATGTGTTTAATTAAAATTAGCTTTATGCTACATTGTGATGGACAATTCAAAGACCTGAACTAAGTCTCATCCGAGTGCATTTCTAAGAAAAGTTTCTTTAAAGCATCAAAGTCAAGAGGCTGAAGGAAAACTGAATATTCAAATGATGGCTAAAAAAAATGAACTTTTGCCTTCCTTCAAAAATAAAATAAAACTGCAGCTTTTCAATGACATGATGGACAAGTAAACATAAAAACATCTAAGTTTTGTATTTATTTTCCTCCTCCATCTTTCAACACGTCCTGAGGAGGAAATGTGCTCCTTCCTGCCACCAACACTTTCTCCTTCCTGCTGAACTTCCTGTCCAGCTGAGCAACCCTGATGGAGATTACTCATTACATTTGGAAGAATAAACCCATCCTGTGCCGTTTGGGTGTTTTAACCAACGTAACGTCTCTGTCCCTTAATTTAGGATCACACAGTGTGAGACTGTCGCTCAGTGAGCAGTTCAGTCAGCAGTTAACGGCAGAACCGCCAACACGTCTAACAAAACTCAAATTTATAGATTGTTCAAAATGTGTTTGTACGTTAAACAAAAAACAGTCGTCCCTCGCTACGTTGCGGTTCGTTTGTCGCGGACTCGCTCTTTCACGGTTTTTCAAAGTAAGATTGGACACGACACACAGTTGGCTGATTGATGGATGAGCCGCACGATCGGGATGGGATTTATATTTAAAATAAATTATTTTAAATGATTTAGCACCTGCTGCACCTGTGTGCAGCCCACAGCTGCTGGTCAGATCTCTGCAGCAGAGAAGTGGGCGTGGCCAAGAGTGCTGGCAGGTTGCAGAGAGCAGCCGGAGGCAGAGAGCTGAGATCATGACATGCTGCGCTCTTTTAGAGCGTTTAGAGTTTTGAAACATTGTTAGCGACATTGCAAGAGTGTGGGAGGGGTTTAAAACACCTTAATATATACCTGTACATAAATACTAAAATAAACTACTACTTACTACTACAGTAAATACTAAAAATAAACTACTACTTACTACTACAGTAAATACTAAAATAAACTACTACTTACTACTACAGTAAATACTA